ATAGGTTCCGGAGGGGCTCACAAAGCGAACAGATTTTTGTCGCGGCTGTTTTTTTCCGGGCTCTTTGAACGCCTGCTTTTTTTCGTCCTCGGGGATTCACAGGTAGACCCTGCCCCCAAAATCCCGAACCCTAAACCCGACCCCTTGATCCCAGACCCTGCACCCTGAACCCTGACCAATGGATTCCCGAACTCTAAACCCGAAACCCTGACCCCTGGATCCCAGACCCTGAGCCCTAAACCCCTAAATCCTAAACCCTAAACCCCTAAACCCTAAACCCCTAAACCCTAAACCCTAAACCCCGAAACCCTAAACCCCTCCCAACCTCCGTCTTGAAGATGGTGTCGGGCAGAACAGCCTGTGGGATCCTCACTTCGATGGGCCTGAGCTTAGAACTAACCCTCCCCAAAGTGAAAAGGGTTTAGGGTTTAGGGTTTAAGATTCAGGGTTTAAGGCTTAGGATTAAGGATTTAGGGGGTAGTTTATTTTTTTTGCAGCCACTCTTTTCCGTCCGCCAGGGTCCGGAACGCGTAGCTACGCAGGAGCAAAGGGTTCTCAAATCCTGCAAGGCTTCATCCAACCAGGAGTTCAAACTACCACAACTCAGCAGCCCAGAGCATGGCCCACAGTACAAGGCAGGGCAAGGAACCGCAAGACCCCCGACTCAGAAGTGCAGGTCAAACAGGGCGATCATAAAGCAGAGGCCACTGCCATTACCACCACAGCCAGGATTTAGGGCTTAGGATTTACGGCTTAGGATTCAGGGTTTAGGGCTTAGAACTTAGGGCTTAGGGTGTGGAATTTAGAGCTTAGGACTTTGAGCTGGCGGCAAAACTATAAACCCTAAGCTCTGTACTACCTAACCCCAAACAAATTATTCTCCCTGAGCACAAAACTCTGCTCCAAGCAGGAACGAGGCACTTGGAGGCCAGGTGGCAGTTCGCGCAGACGATCTTGCCCGTGTACCTATACAGTCATCCCTGGACCCTAAACCCTAAGCCCTAAGCCCTAAACCTCTAAGCCCCAAACCCTAAGCCCTAAACCTCTAAACCCTAGGGGGGGCGGACTTGAGGTTGGTTTGAGTTTTGGGTTCTGGTTGCTCTAGAAGGACTTCCTGAAGCTTTTACTTTAAGCAGACATGTGGGGAATAGAATTTCTCTCCCAAAATGCGAGACACTTCCAGTTGCCCCTGTCATCTACCACAATGTTAGGGGGCCTTTAGAGTTGAGGAATACATGCTCGTAGGGCTGGGGGATGTTTCATGCTAGAGGAAAAATATTTCATGACGTTCCGAGGAGTCAGGTCAACAGCTGGCTGAAATCCAAATCTCTGAAACAGGTGATTCGTTAGGAGGACCCCCCACCCTGTCATAGTGGTATAATAGGAGTCTAAGAGGACTCTAATATAATCCCTATTATCCCCTATAGTCACTATTACTGGGTGGGGAGTCCACCTAGGTGATTCGCATTGTTGGTCGTTGTTGAACGCACTGAGAGTAGGTTCGGAAGGAAAATCTTATCTTACTCGGACTAATTATGGTAACCCGCTTCAGGAACGGGGCCTAGGGCTTCGGGTCTGGGGTTCGGGGACCAGAAACACCTTGAACTGCTGAGCTAGCCAATCACATCTTTAAACATGGAATTTCCCACCTACACAATCCACATAGAACAGAACATGCTCTATGCAAAGGCACTACACAGAGACTTCCGTTTGCGATCCAAAAAGGCACTTCAAAACAAGGACCCTCCCTTAGGCCTACAAGCCCCGCCCCTCTCCAGTCATCTAGACATGATTGTTGGGGAGATCCTTACAGTTGTGTGGTCTTCCTCTAGAAGCAGGAATTCTTGCGCCGCTTGAAAAACCTCATACCCCAGGAATTGCCGACTTTTAATTGTGATCCTTGATTTTGTTTTTGAGATTTGGGATGTAGGATACAGGTTGTTAGTAGGGAGTGGAGGAATGGAAAAGAAAACAACTTCATTGTTTAGGGTTGAGACACGGAGCAAGATTTCCTGCGTCCACCGGTTTTGCCCTGCTTTTCAGCCCAGGGGCTCGCGGGGGTTGGCATAATTCTGCTGCGCAAAGATGGGGTAGGCCACTGCTGACTCCATGGAGGACCTGGCTAGTTAGGGTTTAGGGTTTGGGAACCCCCTTAATGATAAATACCAGCAATATATTAATTACCATTATGTAAGTTGGTGGAGGTGGGGAGCCAGGACATGATTACTAGATGTCAGGGGCTTGAATTCTGAAAGCACTTAGGCTCAATCTACCAGAAGAGTTCATGACACCTTGGAAAGTCGGGCTAGGCTAACATGTCTGGAAAACTTCGCAAAACCTCAGAAACTCAATCGGGAAACTCAGAACCGCTACAGCAATGCCGGGATGTTGGTTCCCCAACCCCAAACTGAGGACCCTACGACTCATATGACTCCATTTAAGGTCTTTACTACGGGGGTCGGGGTTGCCAGAATCCCCTCATCATAAAACTTGAAGCCCCCTACCTGAAATCCAAAAAAAACAACCTGGAAATCTCATCCCTTTACACCCCTAAACCCCAAAGCCCCAATACCCTTGAACCCTAAACACTTAAGCCTTAGACTGTAGCTTAAGCTAAACCAGCTTAAGCTAAACCAGCATGGAGGGCGTGAAGACCATGGCTGCTGCTGCTCCTGCCAGTGCCTGCCAGTCTTTGTCCAGGATTTAGGGTCTAGAGTTTAGGGTATAGAGTTAACAGTTTCGGGTTAAAAGCTTATGGAGTCTGGGGTGGAGAGTTTATAGAATTCTGGGCTTTCGAAGTTTAGGGTGTGGGACGCATCATCTGCAGGCTATCCTTCGCAGCCCAACCAACGGGCACATGTCATTGATTCCGGGTCCATTTAAGCCTTCATGATGCACATACTGAACGTTGCAGAAGCAAGGCAAGCTGTTAATGTGCTTTGGGACACCCGCAAAAGAGATGGACCCCTAAACCCTAAATCCTAAACCCTAAATCCTAAATCCTAAACCCTAAATCCTAAACCCTAAATCCTAAACCCTAAGCCGCAATTTCAAACCCCAAAACCCCATGGGAGTGCTTAGACAGAGGGGTGACGCCTGCTGGGCTGCTCTTCTGAAGGGCCTCAAACTAAACTACTACAATCAGGGTATAGGGTATGTAGGGTTTAGGGTATATAGGGCATAGGGTATACAGGGTTTAGGGTATATAGGGTTTAGGGTTTGGGGCTTCGGGTTTAGGGTTACAATAACAAGGAAGCCCCATTATTTACTTTTTACCCATAATATGGCAGCTTGATTCAAGTTCCTTAACAGCAATCCAGCCTAACTAAAGCATGCTCCATTTAGGCTGTGAAGACCTCATTGACGTTTGGAAGCCCTCAAGTCCGGAACCCCAAACCACAGGCCCTACATCCAAAACCTCTAAAGCCCAGACCCCCAAACCCTACATTCTAAAACCCTAGNNAACCTTAAATCCTAAACTCCAAATCATCAACTCTTTACCTGGTGCCTGCTTGGCGAAATTCTGCACGTCCTGCACGTGCTGGTCCGTCTCCTCTTGGTACTTACAGGGAGAGGGGCCTTACGGTAAAGTAGGTCCCTTTAAGAGCGTGTTCTAGGGGATAAGTGTTCTGCAATAACCCCTAAAAGTTCCTAACAGTAGGGTTCAGGGGCCCATGGCCATCTGGTGCCCTTGAAGATTCCTACCTATGCTTCCCACGATCCAAAAGAGCATCCGTACGGAGAGCATCCTTGCGGTAGCCTCCGAACACGGCTGAGGATTCAGGGTTTGGGCTTGTTTTTACACCTCAAAACTGGGGGATTGTCAAAATTATGNNATAATTTTGACAATCCCCCAACTGACCTATGGATCATTCACGCCAGAAGCCGCACCCCGGCATCTGGCAGTTTCTAGGGGTACCCTAGGCTGAGAAACCTTAGTCTACCCCTGCTTTACTTACAAGGCTTAGGGTTTAGGATTAAGGGGTAGCACCATCATCATCATCATCATCATCATCATCATCGTTGCCCCGCCTTATGATGAGCCGCAACCCTAGGCTGCGACCCCAAAACCCGAGGAAATAAACCACCCGTACACCGTACACCCCTAAACCTTAAACCCCAAGCCCTTACAGTACCCCGAAACCCTGCTCCAAACCCTAAACCCAAACCCCTTGCTTACCTTTTGCTAGCTGGGGATGAAGGAACGGATCCTTATAGTAGTCCCTAGGTAATCCATTATAGTGGTTTCCATATTCTTTTCTTACATTCTTTCATTCCCACCTAACTAAGGAACCCTAAACCCTAAACCCCAAATCCCTAAACCCCAAATCCCTAAACCCCAAATCCCTAAACCCCAAATCCCTAAACCCCAAATCCCTAAACCCTAAGTCCTTAAACCCTAAACCCCAACTCGCTAAGGCACGGATCCCTACACCCCCCAACTCGAGGTTGTTCTGTTATCATCCCGTCGCCTCCAGGGTCGGGGCGTTCACTCCTGGCATAACGCGGTTTAGGGCTTTAGGGTTTAGGGCTTCAGGGTCTTTGGTTTAGGGTTTAGGGTAGGAGCTTTGTGGGCCCTAAACCCTAAACGTTTAGGGAAGGAGTCATCTAGGATTTAGCCCAAGAATGGAAAATACAGTGGGCACTGAAATGCAAAACTCGGGCTTATATGAGCTAAAGTGAAAAAAACTCCTAGCATCCCCCCTAAAAATCCCTGTAGTGCTCCCCGATACAATCCCCTATATAGTTTCCTACAAAGAGTTTTGACTATAGCTTCTGTTGGGGTTAGGTTCCTCTGCTTACCCCCCACCTGGGTTCGCTCTTCATGGAACCAGCCCGAACTATCCCAAAACAGCCTTAATTTATCGGGAACCTAGGAATGCATACCTCTAAGCATTCAGAATTCATAGGAAAGCCGGGTAAGTGGGAAGGTCTAAGTTTTCGGTCAAAACCTGAACCATAAAATGTGCTGAACCCTAAGCCCTAAACCCTGAACTCAAATCCCTGAACCCTAAACCCTAAACCCTGAATAAATCCTACCCTAAACCCTAGACCAAAAACCCTACATAACTCCTACCCTAAATCCTGAATCCCAAGCCCTGAACCCTGAAGACGTACCAATTAAGGGACTTTGTTGGGAACCCCACACAGGGAACCCCAAGAATATAGTAGGAATAAAGAGACCCTGGTAAATATATTCCTATTATTTTCCTACTATATTCTTGGGGTTCCCTGTTTGGGGTTCCCAATGAAATCCCTTTAACCACATCCCTGAACCCTAAACCCTGAACCCTAAAAGTCCCTTTAACCAAAGATGCCAAAGGCTGATCAACAATCATCTGAGCTCCATCCAGCTGGGCACGGCACGCCACCAACCTTGGTTATTGCTGTTGAGTTTAGGATTTGGGGTTTAGGATTTAGGGCTTAGGATTTAGGGTTTAGGCTTCAGGGTTCAGGGTTTAGGGCTTAAGGTTTAAGATTTAGGAGTCGAGATCTTTCATCAATTTGGGTACCTCATCTACTGCACTTCCTAGTTGTCATAGGACTCAGTTTCGTGCAAGATGTCCTCCATCAACAGTTGCCTAGCTCTCTTGGCAGGAGTAACCAAGAGTTCGCACGACAATTGTCTTTCGACATGTTTCCCTAAACCCTACTACATTTGTTTTGCAACTTGTTTTTGTTGTTTACTCTACAGCTTTTACCAAGCTTGTCTCACGTGGCGCTTGCTCCCAGCGTTGTTGCTAGCATTCTCTGCTGTGCTGCACTGACTCATGCAACTGCTTTTGAGCTCTGGGGTGGGTTAACCCCAAGAACTAAACCCAAAATACAGCATTTGCTTTTGCAATGCCCATATTGATTTGATATTCCTGCGATGAATGCGTCTGGGCGTTGGGGTCCACACCTTGCCCTTGGGATTTCGCAAAAGTTCTTTGGGATCCCGAGTATGGAGCCCGCAGTCTGAAAACTCCACTGGAACGCATGGCAGGCAATTCTGAGAAAACCCAATATGGTAGTTTCCCAAAATAAGGGGACCCCAATATAGACCCCCAAAATGCTGTAATCCTTATTGTTAGGACCCCTAAAAAGATATTTTGGAAAACTACCCTTTGTACGTCGGCCTCAAGTCCCCAGATCGAGAACTCTCATGTCGTGAGCGCTTTCACAATGAGAGCTTGAATGCGGGGCCAATATTCTACGTACTAACTTATGTGAATCCCCATGCTGTGACCCCCGCCCCCATCTATGACCCTAATTGCAAGGAGAGTGGGAGGGAGCTTCGGGCTTTAGGGAAAGGATTGTGCATGGGCGGTTAAGGCCTCTTCTTATCAAAGCTTGTTTCTATGGAACTTTTCCAATTATGAAGAGGTGTTCGGATTTAAAAAGTATAGCAATGGTAACCCTAATCCTGTGAACCCCAAATTCTGGACCCTAACCCCACGCGCCTTTTTGCAAACCCCATGGACTATGACACCCACATCCTCTCAGCCCCGTCAACCTTGAAAGCACCAACTGCATCAGATCCGTCACCCCCTAAATTCTTAAACCTCCCAACCCAACCTCTCATGCTCAAAGCTGCTTCTGCACCTACTGTTGGGACCTAGATCTGTAACAATACCATGTTCAAATCTGTTTGAGGAATCTTATGCCATAAGTGCACGAGGAATCTAGGATCATCACGTTGATAGATCCTTGGCCTTCTGCAGGAATTCTAGGAAATCTCAACCTAGCAGCTGATCACGGAAGTAGGTCTCGCTCGCGACGGAGCTGCTGAGACCGGTGGCCACTGGTGCATTCTTGGCCCGCAGGCCCCGGGCCTAGCCAAGGGGTTTTTGGGGGATGTTCAGGGCTAAGGTTTAGGGTGGCTGTGGTAAAAACATGCTGCCTGTTTAGGGGCTTAGGTGCTTGGATTTCTTTTCTTGGTCGCCTTTAGTGACATTCAAAGGAAGTGTTGAGGGGCATCTAAGACTCGGTACAAACAAGGATTTTGATGACACTAAAGTAATCTGATATCCAACCGTGACTGCCACGTGACACTGGTTCTGGCTAGTCTTGCCGCCCTAAGACTCCATGAAGCCCAGACAATTCTGAGGTTCCCTTATCTACTACCCTGCCCGTACTACCCCCCCCTTTACGTAGAGGTACTTAAAAATGAGTAGGGATAGGTAGGGTTACTTAGGGTTGATAGGGGGCAGCTTAGGTAGCCCTAAGGATGGTAAAAAAAATCAGGAAAATCCATGAAAACTATGCTCAACAGAGCCTGGGATTTGGACCACAGCCCTAAACTTTACAACGCAAGTCTTGGCCCACATGAAAGTCAGCATATTCATTACGATGCTAGCGCCCATAGAACGGCAACCCCGAAACAAGGATCACAATTCTGCTAAACCCTATGCATATCCTTGGATCTTCTTGTGAACGTCTTTAGAATGCCCATACACCCCTTTGGTTGCCAAGGTTTCATACAAGGGCTGGACCCTAAGCCCTGAACCCTAAGCCTAAACCCTAAGCCTAAACCCTAAACCCTAAACCCTAAACCCTGGGCCCTAAACCCTAAACCCTAAACCCTAAACCTCTAAAACCCAAATTCTCAACCTTTCAGGGGCCTTGCGGCGCAGGGCAGAGGCGGTAACAAGGCCGGTTGCTGCCAAGGCAGCGCCGGTACCAGACAGCCAGGCACCGCTGCTCTCGGTGCCTTGGATTGTTGCTAGGGTTTAGGGTGCTTAGGGTTTAGGGCTTAGGGTTTAGGGTGCTTAGGGTTTAGGGCTTAGGGCTTATGGAGGGACTACTAGGGAGCTAACAGTTCCGCTTAAGTAGCTAGAGTATGGGGTATATCGGGGTCTTACTATGGTGTTGACTTGAGGAAAATCCGTATTCCATCTCCTGAACGATGACTATATGAGTTATATAGTCTGAACCCCTATACAACGCCCTATATAACCCCCTTTAAGGAGGTTAGACTTTCGCTCATATGTTGTAGGATGTAGTGTTCAAGATCTAGGCCTGCAGGCCAACTTTGGAGCGGAGGCCTGAACCTGCCAAACCCTGAAGCAGCAGAAATAAAAAGAATCAAATAATAATAATAATAATAATAATAGTACGAAGCGATAACAACCAAGATTTGAATGTAAAACTCCAAACCACTTGGATTTAGGGTTTAGGGTTTGGGGTTAACGGTTTTTGGGCCCTGAACCCTATACTGTAGGCCCTTAACCATATACTCCAAGCCATCCACCCTGAACCCTTCTTAAGGCCAGCTAGCTGCTCTTTGGGGCCTTGGGCTCCACGTGCTGGGCAATGCCAACCTGGCAACTCAGCGATGCATCATGTTCTCCACATGAGCTACAGTCATTTAGGATTTGAAGTTTAGGGCCCAGGGTTCAGGGCCCAGGGTTTAGGGTTTAGGGCTTATAACAACTGGAGGACATGAGCTCCCTATTGGATACTCCATTTAGGAGTATACCAAAACCACAGCAGGGACCCCTGGCTGATGCTGACAGTTCCTCACATGGATAGTTGTCAAAATTATGGTCCCTTTTTGGGTACCCTAAAATATTTGGGGCCGTATTATAATAGGGACCCAAAAAGGGACCATAATTTTGACAACCACCCACATGTTTTTGTTGGCCTTTGAGTCCAGAGTTAGGGTTTAGGGCTTTAGGGATTAGGACTGCTACTGGAGCCAGGAATGGAGAAAGTGCCCGCAATTTAGAAACCCTTTGCTGGAGGGGCTTGTCCAACAACTCCCCTCCCCCTAAGATTACCCTCCTGATGCTCCCATTCTGGTACATCATAGCATATGGGGAATATCTAGCTTCAAGGGTTGGAGGAGGTTCATAGTACGGGGAACGGATTACCAGTCTCTTGTTCAGGTGTAACCAAGGTATCCCATACGATAAAAGTACAAGGAACCTAGAGCCACAATATTGGGAAGCATCTATGCGCGTCTCTACACTATATCAAATCCTACAGCCAATGTAGACGCCGAACCAATTAGGGAACCTTTCACCTATGGATCCTCAATCACCTTTTGTGTTTCAGACCTTTGGAAAAAACCTGCTTCCTAATCTCGGGGCCTGCGGTGCGATGGTGGATGGGCTGACCACGGTGAAGGCGTTGGAGGCCAGCATGGCGTCACAGGGGTCGGCTTTTCTGGGGCCTGACTCTTTGAGCTGTGACGACTGCGGGGCGATCCCACCAATGCCCAACTCAGTTGCTGAGTTCCTTAGGCCAAAACTGGTGTACGCTTTTCATTCTTTTTTCAGGTAGTACTGGCATGGCTACTGAGACAAGCTGTGGTATACTACAATAGGAACATGGAGGAACCCTGGCGATGTTACCAACCCATCTTGTGGTCACTATTGGTGGGTGGGGAGGCCTTAGGAGAAGTGGCACGCATCATGCTGCCGTCATGCGAGGATGACTACAAGCATTCTTGAGTCTCGAAAGGACTCAGGGAATCACACCTCAAGGTTTTAGGGTTGAAGGGTTTAAGGTCGTGGGTTTTGGGTTCATAGGTACTTGGCAACCACTATGGGTACCTCACATGATGTTCCCACTGGTGATAACTGCAGCCATCTTATGTGTAACCTCAACTAGAACTACACATGCACCTGCAAGTATCCTTCAGAAAAGTAGAAACAATACAGTCAAGTGCAGAGCACACAATTTGTCGGGCCAGTGGGGTCCATCCAACCAAGGCTTGCGAATCCCATTCCACAAACTGGCCTGACACCCTGCGCCGCAGGAGATTCTACAGGGTTCAGGGTTTAGGCATGTAGGTGCAGTGTGAAGACTACTGCAAACAGAGGGATTAGGGCCCGGGGCGCTCAACAAAATCAAATAGTGGAAAAAGAAGAAAGAAAGCACCATGAAAACCTGGGGTTGTATACGGGTTATTATATAAAGCTGCGAACCTAATGAGCAGATTTAGGTATACCGGCAGGTCAAATGGATTTCCGATGTAAGGTAGATGGAAACTGGAGGGTCAGGGCTATGGTTAAAGAGCATCTCGGTAATCCCCACACAAAGAAACACAATAACTCGGACCTTGTTGTAATGATAACAATGATAACTATACAATCCTACTTTTTCGTGATTGGAGGTTACCAATTCTCACTGGTATACTCTGCACTTGGAGTAAGTGCTTTGGCACCCTAAACCCTAAACCTAAACTTGAAAACCTAAACTCTAAACCCTAAACTCTAGCAATATCTACCTGAGCCTAGAGCTCCCACCGGCTATCCATCCGTCCACGGGCCAAAGGGAGAGCAAAATGATGAGGCCTTCATAGCCCCTTAAGCTTAGGGTTTAGGGTCTTGGTATCAATCGCAAAGCCCAGAATCAAAAACGGGACTTCCTCCAAATTACGGGTTCCTTTTTAGGCTATAGTCCCCCTCAAGTAGATAGAATATGGGGTATATGGGGATCTTATTATAAAATACCCAAAGCCATGTTCTATCTACTTAAGTGGGGCTATACCTTAGCTGCGGGGAAACACGTATCAAGGTTTGAAGCCACGTGTCTCAGAACCTGACAGCTGAGTTCTGAAAACGAATATACTTAAGTAGATAGAATATGGCTTTGGGTATATTATAAGAAGATCCCCATATAACCATATTCTATCTACTTAAGGGGGTCTATAACTAAAAGAGCTATGGGCTTAGCAAAGATGAGCTTCAAGCTTCAATGGTTCTGATAATCCGCAACTTTTGTATCAACCCCCCCCGCTAACAGGTAGTCCCAACAAATACCTTTTCATCATGAGGGTGGTTGTCAAAATTATGGTCCCTTTTTGGGTCCCTAGTATAATCAGCACCTAATATTTAGGGTACCCAAAAAGGGCCCATAATTTTGACAACCACCCTATTATGTTATATAGTTGTTTCCATTTTCTTTTCCATTATCCCATTATAACCCTGATATTCCCTATTATTAGCCCAATATAACCCCAATATAACCCCACCCATGACGGTTACATGCATTACTTGTTGCTCTTGCATCCCGCTCCTTGTCCTTCCCGCCGGAGGCCTCACTGTTGATTCAGGATTGTGCTTTAGGGTCGGTTACAGTTAGGGTGTCGGATCTAGATTTATGGATTTAGGTCTTAGGATTGTAGGATTTAGGTTTGCGGGAGGGGGAGGTTTCATGTTTTTGGGGCTTGGGGTTTGAATCTGAAGGCTTGAGATTCAGTTTTGAGAGTTTAGGGCTTGGCGGTTGAGGTTTCATGTTTTTAGGTCTCCGGTGTTTAGGTTTCAGGGGTTTGAAGGTTAGGTTCCAAGGTTCAGGGGCTTAGATTCCATGGTTTAAACGGAGCGTCTGGTTCCAAGTGGGAAATGAGGGCATAGATCCCCACACTACAACCCCCATAGATTCCCTATTAACCCATTCCTTCATTCCCTAACCCCTACACCCTAAACGCTAAACCCTGCAAAGCATCTAAGAGGCTGCTCTCCTCTGTTGCAATGGGCTGCCTCTCAGTTTGCTGGGGGTCGGCACATTCAGAATCTAGGCTTCAGGTTCCCTTTTGCATGACCCAGATGTTGAACATGAACATCTATGCAACTTTGGTGGAATAATGGGAATGCTCTGCAAGCTTGCCTGTCAAATTAAAAGGGAATAAGCCCCCACGCTGTTCCCTATACAACCAGCACAAAAATTATAGATGGAATATAACCCCAACAGTGCTCCGTAATTATACAAGCAGCACAACAATCCCGGCAGCATCCCAAAAAAAAACATTCCATTTTCCCTCCAAGCAAGAATCGGTTTAGAGTTTAAGGTTTTAGGGTAATAGCGGGCTTGCACGTGGAAGGTGGCAAATCCAAATGAAAAAGCGTATGTGTGAACTCTATACATCCCTATATAATCAAAGTTTCCATTTTCTTGTCCATTACCCCTCAAAATATAACCCCATTATGACCCAAACTTTAAGAACACCATCCGGAATTGCCCAGAAATTGTAGGATGCCATCGTTCCTGGGGTTGCAGGTGCTTCAAAATCGTTTTAGTAGTAATACGGTGGATACTAGAAATCCTGCATGACCCTAAGTACCCTAAACCCGGCGAATTATGGTATTATGGTATAGTCAGATCATGCACGATTTTTAGTATCAACAGTAATAAGAATAACAACGCATAATGGTAATAATAGTAATAATAATTAGTTGTTGCAAGCATGTGCGTCAGGCTCTCTTTTTCTCACTGGCACAAGAACTCACGGCTTCGTTCCCGCAACTACGGTAGTGCTTTGGTATTGCATGCCTTGCGATCCTATCGCCATGCAAGCATCAGATAGGGACCGGTGTCCGGGACCTGCGTCCTTCTGACACTCCCACCGCACTCCCAAAGCACTACACGTTTTCAAATACCCGTGCGAACAACATGGGGGGAACCACCAGGAACTGGCAGCCAACGTAGGAAAGCGGGAAGCGTGTTCTCGTGCCCATCCAGCACGCAGTCAGCGTAGGCGTGGAGGCCATACAGCATGCTGTGGACCAGACCTGACGTGGCGAGGGTAGCTGCCTCAGGCTCCTTGCAGCTGACAGCTGCATGCCATTTTGGCTCGAGCCAGAGACCTGCATCGTGCAGCAACAAACACATGCTTCCAAGCCCACCGAACCTGGTCATGTAAACAGTAATAATAGTAGTAATAGTCATAACAATAGTATGCGAAGCTATTAGCTGACATGCAGGGAGACGTCCACTGGGTCCTACCCTTAGAAGAACAAAGGCTCGGTTTGGTCCGTGCCCCTCACACCCCCAGCACAAGGAAGTACTGGACCTACAAGAGCAAAGGGCCTTTGCTGTACTCAAGTCAAAAAAAAGGCCCTATACTCCCTAATTCTAAGCCCTGATGTGGACCCAGTCAAGACAAGACATGCTACCGTCGCGCTTTTTCGCAAGCAGTGCCTAATCCGAATGCCCGGTCATCCTCCTCCCAAACTAACAAGAAAACCCCCTGCAGGGCTCTATACGGTCTATGGTAGCTTTTGGAAGGTAAGGTTTCGGGTTTAGGGTTTATAGGGTTTAGGGTTCCTTGATAGGGTTTAGGGTTTTAGGGTTTAGGGTTTAGGGTTTCGGGTTTATAGGGTTTGGGGCTTATGGTTTAGCTTCCGGAAGGTATAAGAGTTTGGGGTGGACATGTCCTCGCAACCCCTTAGTGACCCAAGGCAAATTGATCGGCTGCATTTGGGGGGGTTCCTAAGAATGCGGGTAACTTTTTTGGGGTCCGCATAATGAGTAAAATATTTTGGGGTGTATATTCGGGCCCCCTAGACCCTAAACCCCAAACCCTATTTTGGGAAACCACTACTTCTAAAAAGAAACGCAAGCTGGGTAAGAAGCCTAACCTTGCCTTAGCCCCGGCTTATATATGAATCCTTGCTTGATCCCTGAATCCTGCATAGATTGAGGTTCATGGGTAGCTAGAGTTAGGTACTTGGATATGATTTCAAGCAAGTGTAAGTATAGCCTATCCGAAGTATCTCCTAGCTGTTACAACCCCTTACTAGTGTTCTGTAGGCTGCTCTTAGTTCGAAAAACAAGCTGACACGGCCACGCCTTCAAAGTGGGTCGAGAAAATCTCACCTTATGTCGCCATACAAACATCTAGCCGACCCAACTTCTGATATCTCAGATTTGCCCTATTTCCCCTAACTATACAAGTCTAACCCTAAACCTAAACCCTAAGCGGTGAACCCCCGAAACCCTAAACCCCCTCAACCCTAAACCCTCAAACTTTATTGGGTTGATGCCCGAAACAAGCCATGCAGCTCGAACCAGCCACCAAAACATTTGCAGCCGCAGAGCCTGGTGCACTCGAAGCACCCCCGGGTCTTTAGGAAAAGAATCTCCCTGGATTATCATGCAAACGCTCTTCTCCCCCAGAGAAACCACACCCCTGATATACACCCTAGACCCTAAACAACATTGCTAATAAACTCTCTGCAAAGGCATGTCGGCAAACCTACTTCGTCGGACTATGGCTGTGATCTCAGCCGTAGGCATCATAGAGGTCCTAGAAGATATTTTGAAGCCAGAACTATGACTATAACCGTAGTTGATAGGGCCGTCGACTCCTACCCCAGGACCCATGCATGTAATAACCACTCCAGGGTCAGGATTGCCTAGAACAGAATCTCCTGCCCATACCACTTCCTTGCGCCAGAGTCTGTAGACC